CCGAGTCGGTCGTAAAGATGGCGGCGCAAAGCTACAGTGACGTCATGTGAATCGAATGAATATTTGATAGAGCAGGTGTAGAGAGAGGTGGCGACCACGTGCAGGAAGGGGCCACAGGTTCACACTAAAAAATGCAGGGTAATGTTTTGTACCCAAACGCGTTGTTGAGGCTGTTGGGCCAACTGTGTTGTCTTCAGAGAGTTGGGCAGTTTTTGTGTTACCTATCTGCTGGGTTGACGGTTGGGTTGACGGTTGGGTCACCCAGAGTGACGGTTGACGCGGTAGAGACGAGACCGCCGCCGCCGCTGCTCCGAACTGCCACATATACCCGGCCGCTGCGTCGTCTCCTGTTGCCATACTCATCGTTCATAAGGGGAAAGAAAAGTCAAAGAAAATATTTGTAGTGACTTTTGTTACCCTCCAAAGTTTCAAACAAGCGATAACTATCAGTTTCTGTGTTATGTTACCGTATTATACAGCAGCTCTTTAGCTAACGTTACCTGACAGATACACTACCAAACCTCTCTCTCATATCGGGCTGTTTTGTTTTTGCTTTAAATGTTACTGAAATCACAATCCGGAACATAACGCTGGACACTTCTCATGAAACTCTTAATTGATGTGGTAAATTCGGCTTGTACATAATCGACCAACTAAATTGTATTTGTAAGAAAATGATGAATCAAACTACTGTTACTTTAACTGTAATGCCGGTCGCTGCCACAGACGTAACTTTATTTAACAGACCTTTAGTAAAAATTGGTGCTTGACACATTTTTAAAAATGTAGAGTAAGCAGCGATTATACAAAACTCTGCTCACAATGCCAGCCAAGCTCACTGACTTACTACTAATAGTACTAATGTCATTTTTTAATATTGTTTTCCATTCTTTAGTTTGCACCAAACCTTCTGAAACATGACTGCCTGTGTACGGGGAGAAGATCCTGGCAAGAAGTGGAGGGAATTTTTTCACGGAAGAAATGACAGTGGGTGAAATAGTTTTTTGTTGTTCAGCACACATTGCAAATATCAATATTAGTGTAGGTTTTATTTTATGTGGTTAGACACGTAAATGTCCAGATCACAGTCTATCCACATCCTACTGATAGCTATTAAATTGTCTTCCCACAGACGCCCAGGGAAACTCACAGGCTGAAAAGTGTTCAAGCACAGCACTGAGGAGTCTAGCAGGCCTTCACTGACTTGTAAGTACAATTTTGGTTATTTAAAGTAAATATATCAGAACATAGAGAATCACTAAATGTAGGGAGTTCGGTGCAGTGTTGTGTCCTCATTAAGCAGGTATGAAAAAAATGTGGGAAAACTGGTGTTCCAGATATGTTGGTCAGTTAAGTGTGTTTATAATGCTGAGCGGCACAGATAGCTCACTATGGTTGTTTTAGTCGACAGCATGCATTATATTCAACTTTATAAGAAATAGGGAAAGCAACATGTTGCCATGTCACTGATTTTAATTTGGAAGGATTTTTAACTTAGCTTTATTTTTAATTCAGTATAAATATTGTTACACCTCAACTTAGTATTCTGTTATCCTGCTTACTCTTTGCTTTTCAACACAATCTTTTCTTTCTGTCTTTATAAGGTTTGAACATGGCAGCAGGCTGAGGTGTGGAGGCCGTACTCCCACATCCTGACACTGGGATATGCCGGCGCTCCTCTCTGCCATGTGTCATTCTGGAGGGACGGGCTTCGGAGAAGTTGATGTGTGTTTCGAGGCATTTGATATGTTTGACTTTAACTTCTCTGAGCGGTGTGCTCCTGCGTGGGAATGTGAGAAGTGAACGACGAATTGGGATGCAGTGAGTGTTTTTTGGTTTCATATTTTTATGGAATAGCCAACTGACAGTAATGATTATGGACATGTTATCTTAGTAACAATATAGTAATGTTGTTGTTGTTGACTCAAGTGTCATAGTGTTTATTCCATGTAAACAGCAATGAATTTGTTTTGCCTCTTGACAAAAACAATATTTTCTAAAATTTCTTAAAAAGTTACATTGTTTATTGTGTACATGT